TCCTCTCTGGTCTCTTTTCTCCTCCGTATGACCTTTTTCTTTCTCCCGTATTCTGTTTCCATATACTTGTAGTGTCCGATGTTGGAACTAGTGGTAGTGGGGTGGTTGTACTACTGAGATTAAGGTTGGGGGGGGGGGGGGGGGGGGTTAAAAGGAACAGTCACAAGAGTGAAGTTCTTGGAAGCTGCATGGAAACTTTTTCAAAACACCATTTTAGCGGTTCAAACTATGTGTATACCTTAAATAAATAAATAAACAGTAAGAGAGCTGAAAAAAATTTCACTGTGGCTAAACCGCAGTAAGAGATGCGGTTAGACACAAACAGATGTTCTTTAGCAATTGGAAGTCAAATCTTACTGAGGAAACTAGAAAGGAGCATTAACTCTGGCAAGTTAAGTGTAAAAGTATAATTAGGCAGGCGAGTAAATTTGAAGAGCAACTAAGAAAAGACACAAAAATTAACAGTACCTTTTTTTTTTAAGTGCAGCAGAAACACTGCCAAACAATCAGTGAGGCCACAGGACAATTTTGGTGCTTAAGGAGCACTCAAGGAAGATAAGGCCATTGTGGGCATGAATCTGTGTATTGGTCTTCACTGCAGAGAATGTGAGGGAGATTCCCACACCTAAGCTATTCTTTTTAGGTGACAAATCTGAGGAACTGCCCTGGCTTAAGGTGTCAATAGAGGAGGTTTTGGAACAAATTGATAAACAGTAATAAATCATCAGGACCAGATGGTATTCACCAAAGAGTTCTGAAGAAGCTCAAATGTGAAATAGCAGAACTACTGCAGAAAGGTATGTAATATATTGCTTAAATCAGCCTGTGTAACAGATGACTAGTGGATAGCTAATGTAATGCCAATTTTTAAAAAAGGCTCCACAAGTGATCCTGGCAATTGCAGGCCAGTAAGCCTAACTTTTGTACAAAACGGATTGGTTGAAACTATAGTAAATAACAATTATTAGACACATAAAGGAACATGATGTGTTGGGGAGGGGGGGGGAAGAGTCAACTCGGCTTTTGTAAAGGGAAATTGTGCCTCACCAATCTGTTAGAATTCTTTGAAAGGGTCAACAAACATGTGGGCAAGGGTGACCCAGGGGATATAGTGTATTTGGACTTTCAACAAGTCTTTGACAAGGTTCCTCACCAAAGGCTCTTAAGCAAAGTAGCTGTTATGGGATAAGAAGGAAGGTCCTCTCATGGCTCAGTAACTAGGAAACAAAGGGTAGTTCTAAACGGTCAGTTTTCACAGTGGAAGGAGGTAAATAGCAGGGTCCTCCAAGGCTCAACACTGGGACCAGTGCTGTTGAAAATATTAATAAATTATCTGGAAAAGGGGGTAAACAGTGAAGTAGCAAAGTTTGCAGATGATGCAAAATTACTCAAGATAGTTAAGGCTAAAACTGACTGTGAAGAGTTACAAAGGGATCTCACAAAACTGGGCGACTGGGCAACAGAATGGCAGATGAAATTCATTGTTGATAAATGTAAAGCAATCAACATTGAAAAACATAATCTCAACTATATATACAAAACTATGGGTCTAAATTTGCTATTACTACTCAAGAAAGAGATCTTGGATTCACTATGGATAGTTTTTTGAAAACATCAGATCAGTGTGCAGCAGCAGTTAATAAAGCCAACAGAATATAGGTCCCATTAGGAAAGGGTTAGATAATAAGACAGACACAATATCATAATGCAACTATATAAGTCCATGGTATGCCCACACCTTGAATATTGCATACAGTTCTGGTCACCCCGTCTCAAAAAAGATATATTAGAATTGGAAAAAGTACAGCAAAAGGCAACAAAAATGATTAGGGGGATGGAACAGCTTCGATAGGAGGAGAAATTAAAAAGGAGGGACTGTTCATTTTAGTAAAGAGACAAGTAAGGGGAGGATATGATGGAGGTCTATAAAATCATGAATAGTGTGGAGAAAGTGAATAAGGAAGTGTTATGTGAAGGGGTAAATAACACAAGAACTAGGAGGTCACCCAATGAAATTAATAGGCAGTAGGTTTAAAGCAAACAAAGGGAAGTACTTCTTCACAGAACGCACAGTCAACCTCTGGAATCCGTTGCCAGGGGATGTTGTGAAGGCCAAAAGTATAACTTTATTAATAAAAAAATTAGACAAGTTCATGGAAGATAGGTTCATCAATGGCTATTAGCAAGATGATCAGGGACACAGCCCTGTGTTCTAGGTGTCCCTAAACTGCTGACTGCGAGAAGCTGGGACTGGACAAGAGGGGATGGATCACTCGATAAATTGCCCTGTTCTGTTCTTATGAGATTAGTTTACTGTTTAACATATTATACTAGTAGTGCATTCAGCATGAGGTGACTAGTGCAAGCAATATTTAGAATAGTTCTCCATTGGGGTGTGGCACCAGATTCTTCCAAGGAGAGTAAGTGACACACATTACTGAGTTAGGATGGCACATGGTTCCCACATCCTGAAACAATTTACTTACACAGGTTTATCCCTGTGAGGTATGGGAATGTGTGGAAGAAGATGGGGTGATAACATATATGGGAGAATGAGAAAATGGGTAGGCAATAAAAAGAATGAATTAGAATGGGTGGAAGTTAGTGGGCACACAGGAAAGTGCAGGGATTTAAGTGAAGGGGCATTGAACTCCAAATACATACAAATAAGGATGTGGAAGGGTGGGGCTGGGGAATCACCTGGAGCAGGGGGGAAAAGATGGGACAGAAAAGGAAGGTGATAGGACAAGCAAGGGGCAAATCACATACTATACATAAGAGAATGAGTAGAAGAGTATGTATGGGGAAAGTCAGTGAGTTGGGGGAGGGGGCTGTTGATTTGGTATTCAGAGGCGGATTTCAGTTTTGTGGGGCACTGAGCCAGAGCAAGTGGGGGCCGCTTCCCACCCCTTCCACCTACACTCCCCCCCCGCCCCCCACCCCTCCAGTGCTCCTGCTGGGAAATGGGGTGGGGCGTAGGGGCTTCCCCCGCCTGGCACTCCTGCCAGGGAGTGGGGGCAAGGCGCGGGGGCTTGCCCTGCTCCACCTGCTCGCCCAGCGCCCCTACCAGGGAGCAGGGTTAGGGCACAGGGAAATGATGTGCCTGGTGGTCACTTATACAAAATTATATATCTCTAGCAATGCAAAGAGAAAACTTAATATGAATCTTCTGACAAAGCCCTGTGTAGTGAAGGGAGTCTGTCCTGGGAGTTAAGTGTAAGATCTTAACTTGAATAAGTTTGATTATGTCAGTCCCGCCCATGTTTAAAGGAAGAAAGATGTTTGCTGTTCGCTCAGGAATGGCTAGGACTGTCTGATGTGGAAACTTTAGATGGCTGGAAAAGAAATAGGCCAAATAATGTGAAAGAAGCAACATGGCTGGCAGGGATTTAACAATTGAAGAGATGCAATTTAAAATATTTTATAAATTGTACTAGACCCCAGAATGACTTCTTCTAGCTAGGAGAGTGAGACGATAATCTATTCTAGAAAAGCAGAAAGAAATAAGAGTACAGTAATGTTTTAGAGTGGCCCAAGAACAACAGCAGCAAAAATAGATCATAAAATGTTCTTGCTGCTTCTGTTATGTATTCTGGCAGGCTGTTGGTCATTACTGAGCATTTAATATGAAAAGATCATATGGTTTATTTGTGTGGAAAAGTTTGTCAGGATCAATGTTTACCAGGGAAAATGAATCTCAGATCTAACAAGTCATATCTTATGATAATATATATATATATTGTGGAGAAGAGAAGAGTAGACTAGATGTAGAAGAGTTCAAAGAAGTGTGGGAATACAGTAACTCCTCACTTAACGTTGTAGTTATGTTCCTGAAAAATGCGACTTTAAGTGAAACAATGTTAAGAGAATCCAATTTCCCTATAAGAATGAATGTAAATGGGGGGGTTAGGTTCCAGGGAAATTTTCTTTTGCCATACAGTACAGTACGATAGTTGGGAAGTGCCCCCGCCTTACCCCACACAGGCACAGCCCACTGGCACTGGAGACAATGAGACAGGCAAGGAGGTGGAAGGTGCTGTAGGCTCGGAGAAGCACATTGCGCAGCAGCAGCGTCAGCTTCCCCTACTCTGCAAGCGCCAGGGGCGGAGGGCTCAACCCTCAGCCCGCCCATGCCACTCCTTCCCCCAAACCCTCCCCCTTAACCCGCCTCTTCTCTTCCCCCACCTTTACTGCTCACGCCGCGTCTCCCCTGCCTCCTGCCCGTGGCAATCAGATGGCTTGCAGCATTCAGGAGGGAGGGGGGAGGAGCGAGCTCACGGCACACAGGCTCTCCCTCCCTCCCCTGCCTCCTGAACACCGCAAGCCAGCTGATTGCCACAGGCAGGGGAGGGAGGGGGGAGGTGCGCTGCATCCTCGCTCCTCTCCCCTCCCTCCTGCCCGCGGGAATCAGCTGTCTTGCGACGTTCAGGGGGTAGGAGGGAGGGGGGAGGAATGAGGACTCGGCATGCAGGCTCCCCCCTCCCTTCCTCCCTCCCCTGCCTCCTGCCCATGGCAATCAGCTGGCTTGCGGTGTTTGGGAGGGAGGGGGAGCCTGCGCACCAAGTCCTCGCTCCTCCCCTCCCTCCTGAATGCCGCAAGCCAGCTGATTGCCACTGGCGGGACATGGGGGGAGGAGGGGGAAGGTGCTGATCCGCGGGGTCTGCCGGCGGGTGGGAGGCGCTATGGGGGGGGGCATAGGGGAGCTGATAGCTGTGGACAAAGCAGGCAGCCAAATGACGTTATAGCGAAGCATTGCACAACTTTAAATGGAGCATGTTCTATAATTGAGCAGGGTCGTAAGATCGAAACAATGTTACGCGAGAGGACGTTAAGTGGGGAGTTACTGTAGTTTCTTGTAGCGGGGTGGTCAACCCACTCTGGCCCTGAAGGGGTTAAAGCAGGCCTGGAGAGGGCTGCAGTTGAGAAATGCTAGGCTGATTGGGGGAAGCAGTCACAGGTGGGGCCATGCCCTAGTCAGGCCACAGCTGGCCTTATAAGAGGGCTGAGTGCCAGGGACTGAAACACTCATTCTCTCTAGCTTCTTGAGGGAGAAGGACCTGGCTGCCTGGGAGCTGAGGAGGGTACCTAGGGTGGAGCAGTGCTAGAGAAGGGCAGAGGGAGCTGAGGAGCTTCAGCCTAGCAAAACCCCAAGCTGCAGGCCTTGTCAGGGTAAAACAGTGCTGGGGAAGGGCAGAGGGAGCTGGGGAGCTCCAGCCTAGCAAAGGCCCAGGCTGCAGGCCTAGTTAAAGGCCTACAAATGGGTACTAGGGCTGCAGAGGGGCAGCCCAGAAATAGGCAGAGGCAGCTGGTCCTAACCCCCTTGCTAATGATGAGTGGTTTACAGACTGCAGTCTGCCCCAGTGAGTGGGGGCTAGATCCTAACCCCCTTGCTAATGATGAGTGGTTTACAGACTGCAGTCTGCCCCAGTGAGTGGGGGCTAGATGATGACTGGCAGTAGTCACTGAGGCAAGGTGGGTTTAGAGGGATGGGGGTTCCCCAGGGAGGGGAGACTCATATTGGGGGTTACTGCTGGGGCAGAACCCCAGGGCAAAGGGCACCGGGGTCCAGGAGGGACACGGGGCCAGCGGCAAGCAAGATACCGCCCTGCAGAGGGCGCTCCGAGCTGGAAAAGAGCTAATTCCCTGGACAACAAGCAGGAGGCGCCACGCCGGTGAGTCATCGCCCCGCCACATTTCTAAATCCTATTACAAAACAAGGGAAAACTCAAAACCAAATCTCAGATCACCAAATATATGAAGTGGATGCATCCACGTTATCAAATTCTAAAACAGAAATTATAGGAATTCTTAATGGTATTTTTTTAAGGCTAGAGAAACCAGTAGTTGTTACCTTAATTATTCAAATTTGCAGTAAAGATCAGATTAAAATAGATGATTTAACTTTATGGAGATATAGAAGTGTTCCATTTGGTGATCATAGTAAACTACCCAGTGTCTCCTAGAGTGAAACTAATGCACAAAGTCTCAGTATTATTCTGTTCACCAGAAAAAGATCTCTTGTGGTTGTTAGCTTTACTTAATGTGAATGTTGGCAAATTGGCTAATGAAATCATCTCCTGTTTTTTCTAGGGAGGGCTGTGATTGGAGTTGAGAACGAGATGAGCCAATCATGAAGGACTATAAGAACATGGTGTTTTTACATCCAAAGTAAGCCATATATAATCTCCATATATGACACCACAGGATGGACGAGGTGGACTGGGAGTCCGATAATGACACTTGTGACACAGGTGAGGAGCATTCAGATGACTCCAGTCATTCCTCTGAGCGGGTGGGTCGCAAATCTAGCCTCCAGCTGGAGGTAGACTTAGACTACTCTCAACCATGCAGTCCTGGTTGTAGCCCTGCTGGACCTTCAGGTAGGCAAGAACTCCCTGTAGAATTGCAGTGTGAAGATGAGGAAACCTATGAGACCTACTACCAGAAGCGAGGCAAGACTACAGCTGGGGTTTTTGTCACCTCCAACACCAACTTTGACCTGCAATGTGAAGATGAGGATCTGGAGTTCTACTCTTCTGAGGAACCTCAGGGAGGATTAAGTGAGGATGATGAAAAGATCATTCTTGTTGATGCTTTTGATGAGGACCTCGAGTCCATCACTGGAGAGGCTTTGTCTTATAGGTGCAAGAAGTGTGGTGCCTCTTTCCAGGATCTGGGTGAATTACAAGAACACAAACAGATCCATCTGACAGAGCATTCGTACCAATGCCCCATCTGCGGCAAAGAGTTCTTCCGTGCTGCGAACTTGCGAATGCACAAGCTCATTCATTCAAGTGACAGACCACACAAGTGTCCAGAGTGTGACAAGGGGTTCATCCGCACGGCTGATGTCTGGAGGCACCTACGCAACGTGCACAAGATTGAGCGCTCCAAGGTAGTTTTGGGAAATGGCATGGTTAGGAACCCATGGTCAACATTACATCAAAACAAGCATGGCAGTGGGGACACTAACCAGCAGTGTTCAGAAAATCAAAAGCCTGGGGAAGAAGAGTCTAAACCTTACATCTGTCCAATGTGTGGCAAAGGTTTCCGTAAACCTAATCTGCTGTCGAAACACAAGGTGATCCATCGACAGGACAAACCATATAAATGTCAAGAATGTGGTATGGCCTTTGTCCAACTACTGAGGTTGAAAAGGCACCAACAGACTCACTCTGGAGAGCGCCCTTTTTATTGTGAGGAGTGTGGAGGCACCTTCACACGACTGGCATCACTACAGCGCCATCAGCGGATCCATACTGGAGAAAAACCCTACTCTTGCGCTTACTGTGGTCATTCCTTCACAGAGTCAGGCACTCTAAGGAGGCATGAGCGCACACATAAAGTGGACAAATCTTAGTGTTTAGGGCTCTATGATTGTGGTCACTATTTTTTGCCGGTTACTACTGTTCAGTTATGCTAGAGAAACTGCTCCACCCCCCCCACCCACCCTCCACATGCACGAAAACTGGTCCACCACTCCCTTCCTGAAGGAGGGCCAGTATAAGTCTATTATGGAGACATTGCTTCGTAAGGAACTCCGTGATCCCTGCAAGTAGTCAGTGCTGACTGGCCTGGCACCTGTCCTCTGGAGTTACAAGAGGAAAAAGCTCCATTTCCATTAAACAATGAGGTCTGAGAAGTCAAAGGACATATATGGAAGTGAAGCTCCTACAAGGTACTGAGCATTGTCATAACTAGTTGGACTTTTTTTGGGGTGCATTAAGTTGAGCTTTTCTCTAGGTCTGATGGGTTAAATGGAGCCCTACTGCAGTCCCGGACTCTGAACTGATTGTGACTGCTCTTCAGCACTGGATTTGGAGATCTGTCATTGCAGCCTTTGCAAGGACTGCACAGTCCATTTAATCAGAGCTGGCCCATCCATACCTTCTCTCTGTTCATTCTGTCATGTTTTTATTGAAATATGTTTATTTGGGAGAGAAATATCATGTTGGCTATAAAAATCCAGGACCCTAATAAATTTGATAATTAATTGAACAGCTGCATCTAGTACATACTCTTTTGTCCGTGGTTATGTATGTATATTGGTGAGTGGAAAGAGACTTGTATGAGTGGCTGTGAAGTGTGTGGAAGAGTGGATTGTTTGTATGGATCTGTGCCACTTGTGTCTAAGTGGAGGAGAGACCATTCCCAGCTACTGCATTTCAGTAACAAATGTTTGAGAATTTAAAATCAGAAGAGTGGCAAAACAACAACATGAAAATCACGTCTTGATGCTTATTACATTTTAATTTAAATTTCCTTGTTTCCGTGGCCCTGTGTACATGAGAAAATTCATCATAACAAATCATAACAAATCATTGGAATGCCATGAACTCACAATGCCTGTACCTAGGGCCTTATGTGCTGCATAAAGTGTTCACTAGAATCTTAGCTGTCATTTTTAAAATTAAGTCCCAATAAAACCTAGTTCTCAGTGAAATCTTCCTGAAACAATAACTCTAAGGAGGTCTGAACTGTGCCATTCATCTTAGGGGTTTGTTGACTTTGAAACCTAATGATGGACATTAAAATGTTAAAATTAAATATTTAATGGCTGATCATTTTAGCAGGAACATCCAGTTTATGTACTCATCCCACAGTTCCAAACTGCTTCCCATGCCAAAAGATCCTGCTATCCCCAAATCACTGGCTTCCCTCAACAAATTGTACAGTGCAGTTACGCATTTTCAATATGAAGTTCTGCAGCACATTGACAATGTAAAATTTTGGGGAATCATAACATTACTTACATTTAGTATCAATTCAAGTACAGTAACTCCTCACTTAACATTGTAGTTATGTTCCTGAAAAATGCGACTTTAAGCGAAACTATGTTAAGTGAATCCAATTTCCCCATAAAAATTAATGTAAATTGGGGGGGGGGGGTGGGGTTAGGTTCCAGGGAAATTTTTTTCATCAGACAAAAGACACATACACACACACACTATAAGTTTTAAACAAACAATTTAATACTGTACACAGCAATGATGATTGGAAAGCTTGGTTGAGGTGGTGGAGTCCGAGGGTGGGATATTTCCCAGGGAATGCCTTACTGCTAAATGATGAACTAGCAGTTGGCTGAGCCCTCAAGGGTTAACACATTGTTGTTAATTAGCGTCACACTCTACAAGGCAGCACAAATGGAGGGAGGGGAGACAGCATGGCAGACAGATACAGAGAGACACACCCTGTGTGAGAAAGAGAGAGAGAGGTGCGCATTGCCCCTTTAAGTATTGTGAGTCCACTCTAAGTACATTGCCTTTTTAAATAGATCAGCAAGATGAGACAGCAGCTGCTGCCAGCAAGCTCCCTCTGTCCTGAGCCCTGTCGTGTCCCCTCCCTGCTTTATGGAGATAGGGTAAGCAGGGGGGAGGGGGACACCCTGACTTTAGCCCTCCTCTTCTCCCCCCCACCCCGCCCCTGCACACCAAGCAGCAGCTCCAAGGCAGGAGTAGCACATGGCAGTGGGGGGAAGGACAGCTGAACTGCCTGGCAATTGCTAGCCTGCTGGGTGACTGCCGCACAGGGAACTTAGGGGAGCTGATAGGGGGGCTGCCAGTCCACCCTGGTTCCAAGCCCCCACCAGCTAGCTCCAACAGGCTGCTCTTTCTGCAAGCAGTGGACAAAGCAGGCAGCTGCCAAACGTTATAAGGGAGCATTGCACAACTTTAAACGAGCATGTTCTCTAATTGATCAGCAATGTAACAACGAAACAGCATTAACTGGGACAACTTTAAGTGAGGAGTTACTGTAACATAAGGGATACTGTACTGATTTTATTACTCATTTTCATATTCAATTTAGTAAAATACCAATTTTTAAACCGATCTGAATTTCCATTCTGCTTCACTGGAGTGCTGTGGACTCCAAGCCCCTTGCCACAGAATTTAGGTCAAACTTGCTGCCAAGTTCATGGCATGGGCCATGCCTATACAATACCTTGCATCCGCAAAACAGCAATCCCAACTGTTTTACAAGCCTTGGTCTCGCTAGATTGTTGCAGTGCTTGGTATGAGGTCCTGAGCTCAGATCAATCTTAACTGCTTTAATCTACAGTGATTTATCTTGATTGTGGATGGGATGTCAACCATTAGTTTCTCAAGTTCATTTTAATTTCATCCCACAAAGTAGTTACTGGCATTAGAAAATTGACCAGTACCACAGCTCCTAGGAACACGGCTGGGCACTGTGGAATATAGATTCTGATCTTCTCAAAATCACTAGTAAAAACCATGACTGTAAGGCTGGAGGAGAAAAAGAGAAGTTAGCTTGAGAAAATAAAGCAGAGGTCAGAGTAAATTGCCATACTTCACTCTTCATAAGTCTGATCTAACAACCCCAAGTGCACATACAGCCAAGATTTCTTCCCCAGCTCAGGGCTCAGATGCTGAATTTATCCCTTCTCGTATTGCTTCCAGTAATGTCCCAGAATTGGAAGTATGTTTATGTGTGTTGGACAAGTCGTCCATATAGCACAGTATTAATAAAGGAAGCTGCTGTGTCCTTCCGTGGCTTTTAGACACTGATATACTGAACATTTCAGACCCAGAGCTAGAGGGACTCTGGCAAATTTGGACAAAACAAAAATAATTTCTGTGGAGGCCACCAGCTTTCTTTTCAAGGAAGTGATGCTGCCAACTACAGTAAAAGCTGTTTTATCTGGCATGTTGGGGGAATGGGGGGTCCCGGTAAGTGAAAAATGCTGGTTAACTAAGAGGGTGGGAGTTTGGGTGCAGAGGGGGTGCAAGGCTGGGGTTTGGGGTGTGGGAGGGCATGCAGGGCATGGGTGAGAGTGCGGGGTGCGGGCTCTGGGAGGGAGTTTGGGTGTGGGAGGGGGCTCGGGGCAGCGGGTTGGGGGGCAGGAGGAGGTGCGGGGTGCCAGGTCCAGGGGGAGCTAATCTCAGGCAGCTCCCCGCAAGTGGCGACCTGTCCTGGCTGCTCCTAGGCAGAGGCGTGGCAGGCGGCTCTGCACGCTGCCTCTGCCCGCAGGTGCTGCCCTCGTAGCTCCCATTGGCCGCGGTTCCCAGTCAATGGGAGCTGCAGCGCTAGCTCTCGGGGCCGGGATAGCGCACAGAGCTGCCTGCCGCACCTCCACCTAGGAGCAGCCGGGACAGGTCGCCGCTTGCGGGGAGCTGCCCCAGGTGAGCAGCCCTCGGATCTGGCACCCCCACATCCCCTCCCGTGCCCCTACCCGCTGCCCGGAGCCCCCTCCCGCACCCAAACTCCCTCCCAGAGCCTCTGCCCCATTCCCACTCCCATGCCCCAACCCACTGCCCCGAGCCCTGTATCGCACCCAAACTCCCTCCCAGAGCCCGGACCTCCTCCTGCGCCCCAACCCCCTGCCGGCCCCGCACCAACCAGCCTATAAACCGGAATTTCAATGAAGATCAGAAATGCCAGGTTATAGAGCTTTCTGGTTGGTGAAGGGCTGGATAAAACAGCTTTTATTGTTGTTATATTTACCCTCTCATTTTAGCTATTTATTATTGTATCTGGCCACGTAAACAGCTTGGGGTGACTTTGGTGGTGGCCTAGTGTGCCACATGACAGATTCAGGGTTTGGAAGTGATTTCAGAACCTTCTCTACTCAGCTCGATAAACATCAGACACTCTGCGGATCAGATGACCTTAACCACATGTTGTAAATTCCTCTAGGTAAGCTTTCGCAGCTCAAGCTGGAGAGTTCCTGTACCTCGGATTCCTTGAGTTGCAGTCACTGGCGTTTTCTTTGGATGGGGTTGAACATACTGTTCACAAAAGTCATCGTATTCTTGTTTAATTGACACTTCCACATGCCCAAGCATCTCGCTTCGGAGTCAGACCACCAGACAGTTTTCTTTTTGTTAACCCATTCGTTATGCTTAGTAAAGTTTCATTTCGCTAACCTTTTAATTCTCCCATTAAAAAATCATGTTGTTTGAAGCAACAGAGAGTTCTGTGGCACCTTTAAGACTAACAGATGTATTGGAGCATAAGCTTTCGTGGGTGAATGCCCACTTCGTCGGATGCATGATTTTCGTGGCATTCACCCACGAAAGCTTATGCTCCAATACATCTGTTAGTTTTAAAGGTGCCACAGAACTCTCTGTTGCTTTTTACAGATCCAGACTAACACGGCTACCCCTCTGATACTTGACACCATGTTATTTGGAACACTTTCAACACTGTTACGCTCTCATCAGCACAATACCCATTCTACCAACTGCCGCACCACATACATGTATATCCTATCCCTTGTAAACAAGAACTGTAGCCTACAGCCATTTTAATAGCACTAAAATTGTGTCATTTGGTTCATAGTCTAAATAGATGGCAAATCTGAAATCCAAAATTATTCTGTAGATATTTAGAGACCGATATAAATGATTTCTAGTGAGATGTCACAGTGGCACATTTTTCAGATAGGGACAATGTAAGTAGGGCTGTACAGGCATTTCACACCTCTCCTGACCCTGATTGATATTGTAGTTCAGCTGTGGTTCAAGAAATTTTTGGGCTAGCTCTTAGGATTTGTCTAACCTGAGCTTTTTCAGATTTAACTAACTTGGTAGAAAAAATGGTTGAGCTAAATCAGTGCAACGCCCTGGTGTGGAAGCAGTTCAACACCCCCACCCTCCCAATTTAAAACCCATTTTGTCTCTCTCTCTCTCATTCAGCAGCCTCTAACTTTAACTACCACTGAAGTCCACACTCCATGCTCGTTATATACAGAAATTGTGGCCAGTTGGTTTAGCAGGCACTATCTGGCAATGGACAGTTAAAGGAGATGTAGCTATAAAAACTCCCACACTCCAATCTGGATCTACGCTGGTTATGTGATCTGTATGTACCTCGTGAACCTTGTAACTGATACTTGCAATCCCCCATAACCCAAGCCCGACCCCAGATGTACAGTATCTTCCCTCTTGTGTAAATTTGATTTTAAACATTAACTTTAATAAAATTTTTATTTTCCCTGTATTAAATGACTGTTTAGAACAGAGGGTCTCCTACAGTTGCGAACTGTTGTTAAGATAGCAGGCTTCGTATTGACTCATTTCCCCCTCTAGCCTTGATTCCACACCGTCCAGTCCTACTGATTGATGGCATGAAAACCTATTAAGACAATATTAAGGAAACAAGCTAAGAATACAACGAGTGCAGCTGTTTAGCTGTGTTCCACCCCTTCTTTTTTTAATCTACCATTAGTTTCTTCTCTGATGAGGGGAATTACATGCATTTGTTCTGAATAACTCCTCCTTCCCTGCAGCTCCTATTACTTTAATATCTTCAGATTACTTTGCTTGGTTTTGTCCTCCTGAGGGTCTGGTACCCTTCTATGGTCCCATTGATGTAACGGGACGAATTGTGCTTTAAGTCAGGCATATGCTTAAGTACCTTGCTGAATCAGGGCCTAAATGTTTGCAGATCTGTTTACCGTTGTAATGGGAGCCTAAGCTTTCGTGGGTAAGAACCTCACCCACGAAAGCTTATGCTCCCAATACTTCTGTTAGTCTTAAAGGTGCCACAGGACCCTCTGTTGCTTTTTACAGATTCAGACTAACACGGCTACCCCTCTGATACTGTTTACCATTGATTATTCACCAAAGAAGTATCTGACAAAGACTTAAAGCTGGCAAGCAGCCAGGCAGAAAGGAGATTGTTGCTTTTTTCCGTTTAGGTAGTGAAAAAAGGCTCTGGATACCCCCCAAAGAATTCTCAGCGGGCTCCAATTTAGAGGCATTACCTCTTGGAGAGCAATGAACATTTTGCCATCGTGACAGAAGCATCTCCATGAATCTCCTGAAACAGATTGAGAACCGCTAGTCTAGAAATTGGCATGGTTTATGCTGTACATTTCAGCAGTGCACTCGTTGCAAGCTCAGAATAAGAATGGAAGATTAGCTGAGAAAGAAAACTTTCGAAAAAATGTTTTTGTTTTTTGTTATTCCTTATTTTTAGTTTTGTAAAGTGAACTTTGTGCTTGTGAAAGGTGCTGAAATGATAATCGTGAGACGGGAAGGAACCTTTTATCTTCAACACAGGCACAGTACAGTCAACGATATAGCATATTTGGCTAGGTGACATAATTCTGATCTGGAAGGACCGGCTCGAAGGGTGAAAGGCCAACAAGATACAATGCCAGTTGGCATGGCTTTGGTGATGTGAACACCTGTTTGGGGAAATGGACTAACAACAACTGATTTCACACAAACCACCAAACAGGTATATTTTGGGAAACTCTCAGTATTCCATTACTTATTCTGGGGGCACCCAGCGTTTACTAGACATGTATATTTTAATCAGTTATCGAAAGGGACAGGGCAAACTACTGACCCTTTAAAATAGTCGTGTTAAAGTGTGATATCAATTAATTTAGTTTTTCTAGAATGGGATGATCTCTCTAATTAAGGACTGCACACAGAAACTGCACTAATTAATTCCATTTAGTGAAATCAGCCTTTGGATAGGTACTTGTAAACTCAGTTATGAACTGAATTAGGCCAAATCAGTATTTGTCTCCCCCCCCCACCCCCAATCTGTGTGAGAGCATCTACCCATGGGGACTGCACTGACTTAACTAAAGCGATTTAGATCATGAGTTAGTTAAATCAGTGCACTTGCTGTCTATAGACTCTAAGGGCTCAATTCACTGTTGCCCTGCACCAAGTGTAGCTATTTACATGAATGCAAAGTGGATGTAACAATCCAAAGTGCAAGACAACAGAGAATCAGAAAACCCTTGATTTTATAAGAGTTTTCACAAAATTGCACACCTAATTTGCATACATAAGCAGACAGTTAAAAGCATAGCAGACTGTTTGCATATATAGATGCACAATTTACACACCATGGTAATTATACGCTCAAAACAGGTACTCACTTTATAAACACGAGGCCCTAAAAGCTAATGAGCTTACTGCACATACCTCATAGAAAACCAAGCTATGTAGTTGTACTCACTATCTAAGACCTGCCAATAGACTACAATGTTAGGGCTTAGGAGGAATCCTTGTTTCGTACAGCAGTCTTTCTTATTAACAAATTTGTTACACAAATGTTCTCATTCTGTTCAAATGCAGTGTGAGAATGGTCTTAAATTGTTGCCATCTGTTTAAGCGTACCAGTCGCATGGAACGGTTGAGGTTGTAGATGGATCTGGGATCTGGCCTGGAAAGCTACTGTATAGCTTTTCTCTTTACATACTGCCTCCTGTCTTTGCAATATTTGCTCTTTCCTCTGTGTAGAGTGGGCCGAAGCAGGGATCTTTGACCTATGCTAGAAGCAGGGAAGATTGCCTGGCAAAAGAGGTCAACCATTAAAAACTAACGAGTGAGGAGTTTGTAATCTGCTCCTATAATAAGATATTTGATTCTTTGCTGGGCTCTCCATATTTGAAGTAAGGCTTCATCAAACAGTGATCTCACCCCTACTTTTTAAGATGGTTTATGTTGTCATCGGGAGTCCCTCTGACAGAGTTTTCCCTCTTTCAGAATAGAAAAAAGGAGGGATTGGAATCCCTTCAAGGCTCAGACTCAACTGCAGTCTAGTGAGTGAATAAAATTTTATTACAATAAAGTTTTGGAACCAAACAGGAAAATACTAGCTTTTCTCTTATTTAATTGTTTCTTCCATGTCAGGAATGGTGAGAATATGCTATTCGGGCATATCGACCTTGATACAGTAAGGGTCACCCAGTGGAATGATCATCCGGTGGGAAATGTACTGTGATATTGATAGTATAGATCTCTGAGATGATGTGGCCACCATCGTGTATTTACTGTGGGATGATCACGCTTTCAAGCCTCCTCTCGCTACATATATTTGTACTGGTTTTCACGTGAGAGAGAGCTCAAATAAATCTGTTTGTGATTCGGGGAGTAACTTTAATCATGCTTATTTACTAGAGATATATATCTGAGCTATTTGACTCTTATTCTGATTGCAACTGCTACCTTATGTGCCACCACAGTACTTTAAATCCCAAAGCGGGAATGCTAATTTGTCCTATAATGGGGGTCTATTCCTGTTCAAGTTGACAGCAGAATTCCCTTTGACCTCAAGGGAAGCAGGAAAAGGTTCTTAATCTTAAGAGCCTTTTAATACTTGGACCATTTTTGGTGGAAGTGTCTCCCATACAAGTGCTTTGTTGGCTAAGGGAAAAACGGTGCAAAGCTTTATCAAAAGGGTCAGCCCATTTTGTGGAGATGGTTTTTGCAATTCAGCCCATCCTGTTTGAGAGAACTTGAGCTAATTTTATTTGCCTCTGAAGTATTACCTACTTTTTATACTCCTTAAAAAGTGATCGGTATTGGTAGCATTACAGAGATCTTTAAGCTTGTGCTTCACATGGGTTCTCTGTCTCTCCTGTTGATTAATACTGATGCGCTTCGGGGGAGAGGTTACTTCAGAATGTTACTATGAACAAATATAATTAGATAGCTGTGTAATTTGTTCTGGAGATTTTTGTTTTATAGGTATTGTGAATTATATATGATGTATCTTATTTTATTGGAAGGGGAAATCAGGGTGAGAACACAGCATGTGTTTTTCTTAACCATCAACCCCAAACTTCAAAATTAAATTGCACAGGTTTCCTGTATAATATCACTTGAGGATAATTAGCATTTATATAATGATATTCATTTTCAAAGTTTTTTACAATCATTAGCTATACTTGATTTCATATTTACATCTCTTTCTTAATTTTTAAAAACAAAATGAACTTACCTACTTTCTGGAGTCTGTCTACAGACTTTATGTGCAAAAATCATTGCTCCACCAGCCTGAAAAGAGAAGGTCCTTTCTAAAGTACAATTGTATTCAGGCTTTGACATACACATTGAGACAATTACAGCTAGTATGGTTCAGTGTATCCCATGCAGCAATATTCTCCATGGCAAATGTGTCAACTATATTAGTGCTTATCGTGCTACAAACCATGATTGTACTGGTGCACTGTGGGAAAATCTGGGGACTTATGTCATACTGCCTCATCTGATGAGGCCAAATCCATAGGATTATGGGTGTTTTTCACATGTACTTTATGAGATGTTTCCTTCACAGAGACCTGGAAGGTGGGAGGACTGGATAACCTAGGTACAGAGAGAGGATTAGTTGGTCCCATCTGCACAACTGAGTCACTATGTTAGAATCCAGTTACAACCTAGCAGTTGTGTTGCATCCCTGCCTGTGAGCAGAATGACAGTATGGTATATGCAAAATATTAAGGGCCATGTAGTAGTCACGAACCATGTGTGGAACGAGTATTGAGACAGCTTGGTTGCAAACTCATTTCAAAATCTGTCCAATTGAAATGCCTACAGTTGTGCAGGGCAAGACACAGCACTACGTTGTGTCTGCAGGCTTATGTTCATACCTACAAATCGATGTGCTCAAAATCATGTCTGTGATTAGTAACATGCTTTCATGCTCTTGTGCATTTCTGAATACACTCATATGTTCTTGCTGTTGTGGACACAAACAGGCTTTGGCTCAGGTCCAAGTGCAGCATTAGACACTGAATTACACCATGCATCTATATTTACACCTTATCTACTAATTACTCCTGGGGGAATTCTGCGCCACTGTGCACATGCAGAATTTATGTGCTGTGCAGATTTTTTTTTTTTCCCCACAGAAAAAACATTCTGCCAGAAAGGTGCTGCAGTTAATCCTTTCACCCCCCCCAGGGGCCGCTGTGGCACCAGAACAGAGAGCAGCCACTCCCGGGCAGGAGCAGCCCCAGCTGCGGATAGGGAAGAGAAAGGCGCTGCATTCCTCATAGCTCCCTGCCCGTGGGGCCAGGTCTGGAGGCTCAGGATATAGGGGGATGGACAGCATGGGGCACATAGGGCTGCTGGGGGTGACAGACTGGGGTTCAGAAGGGCTGGTGGGGGTGACAGACTGGGGTGGGGGCTAAATGGGAGTGGGGATGCAGGGACAAATGGGGATGTGCCTGACTGAATGAGAGACGCTAGGGGTCAGCCAGGTGGCGGCTCCCTAACAATCCCTCCCCGTCCAAAAACTCCCCTGTTCCATACTTCTCCCACCCACACCCAACAACCCTCCAAGTTCACATGCAGGCTCCTTCCCAGCAATTACTTCTCTCTCCCTCAGCTCCTCCATTACCCCTGACTCCCCGAAGCCTTTGCATTGCTTCTGAGGGATGCGGGAAATACGGTTCTGTATTGTAGTTTAAATTAATTATTACTCAGAGTTCTGTATTAATATGCCTTGTAAAGAATCTGTTTGTCAAAAAACATTTCCTGAATCTTTTTTGTCTGTATTGTTACAGACATAGTTGCTGATGAGTATTTTGAAATAAATTACCAAAATAATTGAAACTGGCTTGATTATATTGTGTTATTTTGACAAATAAAATATGCAGAATTTTAAAATATTGTGTGCAGAATTTTTTTGGCACAGAATTCCCCCAGGAGTAACTAATGCATACCACAAGACACGTGAGAGAGCCAGAGCCTGGTTCCTTTAAGCCACTCATGGAGATACATGAGTGGCAATAGAATATTTATTTCCGGTGTATTTGCTTGAGACATAATAGCTTTAATATCTCAGACATTGGGGAGTTCAAGGGAACACCAAACAATGTCCCCAATGTTATTTCCTTCTCTGTCCACATGGTATATTACAGCATCCAATTTGTAATCATCAGAGACGGAAACCTTTGCAAGTGTAAAAAATAAAACTAGACTACCCCTCCCAGGCCAGTTCTTGGCAAACATAACCCCATTACAATGCGAGCACATTTATTATTAATTATTATTACTATTATTTACAGATATTTACATTCCTCAAATGTCACAGCGTGTTCAAGTAGTTGGTTCTACGTGGCACCCACCAGCTTCAACACAAAGGGCAGAGTTAGAGAGCCATGAACAAAGTGTCATGTGAAGCATCCTGTCAAGTACAGAGGTCAGGAGATCTCCTCCATGGCAGCAGTAACTGGTAACATAGGTCTTGCCCACTGGAGAGAGAAGGCCAGAGTCCCTGTCTGTCCTCCTAACTGGTGAGGCCTGTCCTATCCACTTCCTCTCAGTAAGGGGAATTTTCCCCCTCCTTTCAGAAGCAAAGTGTTGCACTTTTAACTCTTTCCCTACTGAAGATTCTGCACTCGGTGGCTAAGTTGTTTGAGGGTTCATTTTGCACTCCTTTTATTTTAATCCCCTGTATGTGTGTGTGTGTTTCTTGATGGTTTATTCCTGTTGGCTCATGACTTTGTTGTAATCATTTGGTACCTTTTCATCAGGAGCTGCGCTTGTCAGGCAGAATTTTAAATGCTTTATCAGTCCGGGCTTGCTTTGTTGTCGAAAAGATCGCACAACTTTGCTATCTGGCTACCTATGGAACCTTAGCGAGTTGGCCTGATGGGGAAGAGGGGCCTGCCTCACCAGTGAGAGTGAATGGAGACAGTTCAGTGCACTCCTTTCCTAGCTGCCCAGACTGATCTTGCAACCCATCCCAGAGGAGCTGGAGTCTTGTGTGCAGGAGAGGACCAAAAGGATTAGGATGAAATGGAAGAATATGGAGGGCAGAGCCATATGTGTCCACTACAGCTTTGTCCCTGGCTGCTGATGTTGTGAAGGAGGTAGCACTTGGATGATGGAGCACCTCTTATTACATTGGAGAGCCCCTTTCTCTCTGGAAGATAGCAGTGGCACAGATAGGCTCCAGACAGAGCTATATCTAGCTCTCCTAGATCCGAAAGGTAGTCAGGCACAGCAGAGAAAGGAAATTAATGAAAAACATTCTTCTCCAAAGGGATGTCTTGGGGGCTGTCTGGATAGTGCAGCATGCTGCCAGCTAGGGAGCATAACTACTGGACTGATCTTGAAGCTCTTAACTCTGGGGAGACATGGAACATTTGCTGCTTTCCTTGGTGCTGCTGCACCTTTCCTAACGCTGAGTGGCTGGCTGTGGAACAGCTGCAGTTCTCACACAGGTTGCTCATCCTTTCTGCTGTGAGGCACAGTCCAACAAGTGTTGCATCTACACAGAGGGGCAGCTGTAATGTGAAAGGGTTTGTGCAAATATCTGAAATGTGTTGGGTGGGCAAGAGAGGTGGCCTAGAATGACACATGCAGCACTATCTGGAGATAGATGCAGAAAACGAGGGAGAGGCCACTCGTGAGGTCTAGAGGCAACAGCCTAAGGAGAAGTTCAGCCCCATGAAGCACCCAGTTGCTGGGAAGGGTGGTGTCCCTGGACCCTGTTTGTGGGCTCCATCTATTGTATCAGCCTCTGATGAGTAGGTGACTGATACATTTTCACCCCCTTTAGCAGCTGGAAGGGAGGAAGGAGTTTTCTGTCTCTTCTCTCACTCCTTTAGAGCCACCAGGCTGTTGCAAGGTGTGAAAATCCTCTTCTTGACAGCTGCCAGGAAGGTGAGAGGAAGAAGTCTCCCACAACCTCTGCTTTTGTATTCTCCTCCCTGGTGAGTAACTCCAGTGTCACCTCTCTTAGGCTATTCCTAGCTTTCTCAAGCACCATGAAATTGACAAGATGCCTAACATCTTCACTGCTGCCCACCAATTTCTGAAAAACAGCAGTGGAACTCCAGCGTGCTGTTAGCCAGTAAAGTTCTGAGCAGCAGCAGAGACATTGGAGCTGGCTGTCTGCAGACTCAGAAAGACTGGTTCACATTCAGAAAGCTAGCTTCACCAACAGAGAGAGAGAGAGAGACACGCTAAAAGAAAGTTGACTTCGTTAAGTCTGCATAATTAGGGAACCGACTGATGCCAACTGGTAATAAAACATAAAGGAATGGGACTGCTGCTTAATCAGGAAGCTAATTTTGCTAAATTGGGATGCCTCTTGGTGGAAGGAGTCTCGAGGACAGACAGATGTTATAAAGCAGAGCTATCTGGAGCTATGAATACCTCACATGCAGAATTGAACAGTGGGGGGTTGCTCCTGCTCCCACTGGCAAAAATACCCATTGGTTACAGCGGTGCAGGATCAGACCCAAGATGAGCCAGAAACTGATCAGTTGTGCATTTGCCACCCAGTGTCTCTGCACCTATTGGAAAGTCACTGTGTACAGTGTCAATAATTCAGCCAGCCATGGCCAGCACAACCCCATTTAAAAAGTACGTTCATCCTTTTCCTAACAGGCCAGTAAGAAGGGAATGATGTCAGTGCCTTCATTTGTAAGTATCCCACAGTACATATATTTGTTTGGAGTTTTCATGGTATCATGTTCGTTTTGTTTTTCATGGTATCATATGAGAGGTACTTCAGGAAAGCTTTTTGTCGATAGGCTGGCCACTGGGGCATCCTCATTATGGAGATTATAATACCTCAAAGTGCAGTTCTGCTCTGACAAGGGGATCTCTTAAAATGACATTGGTGGGTTCCATATTTACATTCTGTGGGTGATTTGTGCGCAACTTACAAGTAATAAGATGTATTTTGTAGCTGACAGACCTGCACACACAACCTGGACTCAGAGTCAAGAAGGGCTTTTTCCTTCTGCATCATCACCAGTAACAGAGACTCTACACATAAACCAATGCCCTAAGTGATCCCTATTCCATCCTGTTTCCTTCCAAGGTGTTTCACAGGAACTGCATGGAACGTATGTCTTGTCTACATGCAGACTTGCCTCACTTTTACCAAAAGTGTATTTTTAAATCTATTTAGTGAAACCAGTATGATTTCTACATGTAGACCAGCTCCTCATTAACCATTCTGTTAAGGACACACAAGCAGGAATAGACTTCAGCTCACACTCCGTTAGCTGACCTGGCTCTGCAGGGCAAACAGGAGTAAAAAGCAGTGTTGTGTCAGATGCAACTCTGAACACACGTACTGGGAGCAGATCTGCCATTTTCTTACCTAGTCCCTTTTCAGAGTAGAACTACACTTGAAGGGGCAGCAGGAATTGGCATGAGGGCCCATGAAGGAGCAACAGCTATGAAGTGTCAGTCAGTTTGCGATGTGCTCTTGAACTTTTGTCCAGCAGGAAGATCTTGGTAAACAGCTGAACTTGGTGCCTGGACAGATGACAAGGTGGGTGTATTCTACATAATCTCTCTCCTCATCTGTATCCCCTGTCACAGGTGGGCTCTGGTTGGGTCCTTTGGTGTGCATTTATGAAGACAAGTACTTGCAGATCTCCTCCTCTAGTCAACAAGCAACTTGGTCAGAGAGTGGTGCCTGCTCCATATTGCATACAAACCCTCTCTCATATTTGCTCAACCTGATGAAGCCCAGGTCTGTTGTATTTGGCCCCTCAGAAGACAGGTGTCTTGAGTGCCTGGTGTCCAGCTGCCCCACCAGGGAGGGACTTACTCATCGGAAGAGGAGAACGGCTCCCCATTGCTGGCACCATGCTTGGCCTGGTGGCGGATGAGGTGGGTGGACTGAGTGAAGGCCTTGCCACACTGGGCGCACTGGTAGGGCCGTTCCCCCGTATGCACCCGCATGTGCTGGGTAAGCTGCGAGGCATGGCGGAAGGCCTTGCCGCAGTCTGAGCACAGGTAGGCCTTTTCCCCACTATGGATCTGCTGGTGCCTCTTGAGGGTGGAGGAGCGGGCGAAGGCCTGCCCGCACTCGGCGCAGGCGAAGGGCCGCTCGCCGGTGTGGATGCGCTGGTGGCGGATGAGGCGTGAGGACTGGGCGAAGGCCATGCCACATTCAGAGCACTTGAAGGGGCGCTCACCAGTGTGCAACGTCTGGTGCTCGAAGAGGTTGGAGGACTTGGTGAAAGACTTGCCGCAGATGGCACAGGAGAAGGGACGCTCGCCTGTGTGGATGCGCTGGTGCTCCACCATGCGGCTGGCCACGGCAAACTCCTTGCCGCAGTCAGGACAGTGGAAAGGCTTCTCACCCAGGTGGGTGCGTTGGTGGCGCAGTAGCGAGAGTGGCTTGTTGAAGGTCTTGCCGCACTCCTGGCAGGGGAAAGGCTTGTCGTTGCTGTGCATGTTGCGCTGATGCTTGCGCAGGTCCGAGGAGCGCACAAAGGCCTTCTCGCAGTCCAGGCACTTGTAGGGCTTCTCGCCGGTGTGCGTGCGGATGTGTTTGCGGTAGTCCGAGGACCAGGTGTAGGCCTTGATGCAGAACGGGCACTTGTAGGGGCGCTCGCCTGTGTGCAACCGCTTGTGCTGCTGTAGGGTGCCCTGGTGTGAGTAGGCCTTGCCGCACAGCTCGCAGGCGTACGGCTTGGCCCCACTGTGCGTGTCAATGTGGCTCAGGAGGTTGCTTGATTTCTTAAAGGCCCGTCCACACTGCATGCATTTGTAAGGCCGCTCCTCCACCTCGCTGCTGCCCACCTGCTGCGTCCCAATCCTGACCCTCCTCACCGTGGCTGCTTTCAGGGCCCCAACACTGCCCGCTATCTCGGCTGGCTTGTTGGCAGCTTTCGGGTTCAGCCACTTCACCCCTCTCTTGCTTTTCAGGGGAAGCTCTTTGCTCCCCCCTGGCTTGCTGAAGTCCATACTTGGATTTCCTGGGAACACCCCACCCTCTACTTTCCTGGTCATGTAGCTCTTGATGCTTTCCATGCCATTGCACGGCAGGCTGTCCCTGGCTGGGTCGTCTAAATCACTGTCCAGGGTAACCACAGTGTCCACGTACTCGGTTGAGCTTGGCAGCACCTTGCCAAAGTGATTTATGCCCTGTGGGCTGCGCCGAAGAACAGCAGGCTTCCTCACTGGCCGGCTATGCCACTTGTGACACACTGTCTCCTTGCTGCTTTCCTCATCGCCCTCATCACTCTTGGTGCGAAGACTGACCATCATGTTCAACTTCTTGGCCACACCGTTGGCATTGATAAGGGTGAAGGTCTCATAAAAGACCTCGTCTTCCTCACACAGAAGGTCCTCTGCCATGCTGTCCCTCGGCATGGAGCTGCTGGACACTGGATCTTGGTCCTTCTGCATGCCGTTCCCAAAATGATCACTGTCGCTTTCCTCAGCTTCCTCCTCCTCATTGCCTTCATCATTTTCACACCATGTGTTTGTGGTCCTCTTTCTGTCCCCATAGGATCCCTGAGCCAAACTGCTGCTTGGGTATTCCTGGTCCAGTCTCTCAGAGCATTCTATGCTTGCCATTTTCCACTTCTGCTTCTGAATATCTGCTTCCAGGATCCTTCAGCCTGAAGCTGACCTCAGGGTAAGTGACCTGTATTTTAGAACAAGAGATGAATGAACAGGGGCTGGGGACATTTATGAGGAACAGAAAGCAGCTAGGGATCATTATTACATTGACACCCAAAGGTCCCAGTTGAGCTAGGGGCTTACTGTGCCAGGCGCTGTACAAAGAGGGGTGGCTCATTCCTTCCTCAAAGAACAGGGAAAAGACAAGACTGGCTACGATAACAGAGAGAGAAACAAACAAACAAACAGCATTTTAGAGGTGATCTGGGATACGTATCTTGTTAGCTGGTAATATTTTTTTAATCCTTTCCCTCGTTACTAATTTTAGTTTATTCTTAAAGCTCACCTATGTAAAGGTCATTGGTTCTAACCTTTGTTCTAACTCATGGTACTGTTGTTTTAATTTCTATCTTTTCTATTAAAACCATTGCCTCTCTTCTGTGTTTTTAAAACAACTTATCTATTTTTCTGCTTTCTAAACATAGGAGCACCAGGAAGCAAACAGATGCTCTTAATTATGGAGGCCCTGATGCACTATGGTGCTGGATATCAAACTGCTGTTTCTCTTGATTACCAGGGAGCTAAGACATCTAGAATGCAGGGTAAGGAACAAAAGTTAATTTCTCTGACAGAAGGTCTGACTCAGGAAAGTTCTGGGAATCAAACCAGTCTCTCTCTCTTTTATGGAGAATCTCAGATACTTTGAGGACATGATACTGACAAGGGAAGCCTGTCAATTCAAAGTTTTGCTATAGAAATAAAAATAGGAAGAGGGCAAGAAATCAGAGAACTGACTTTCAGAACATCAGGAGCTCTCAGTTCTTCCCTGGAACAATAACACTTTCTCTTCTCTTGCTTTATTGCAAGATGCATGTAAAAAAAATGACCACAAAATAGGCTAATTAAGTCACCTGCCTGACGCCATCCTGAGGGTTTGTTCACCACTTTAAAGTTCTTGAATGTACAGTGCCTATAGCTGGAGACAAGATCCGTAATGGAATAACTCCCTGGATGAAGACTGTACACCTGCCGCCCGTGGTGGAGCAAAAAGGGGCGCTGAACAGCTCAGCCACTCAAAGATCTATGCTGTGATGGGGCCCACAGTTTTTTTTACTGGACTGTGCATGTGATTTGTGGGCAGGTTTAGGGCTCTGCACTTAGCAGTTGTTTGATTCAGCCTTCAGAGCGCTGTGTATAATGGCCCGCACAGAGTTAATGTGAAGTGTGTCAAAGTGCAAGACGTTATACCTCTAACGCTAGTGGATGGCAATACAGACATGGTTTGGCCAACCCAATCCAGCAGTCAGTTCTAAGGGTGGCAAAAGTACACCTAACCGTAGAGGAATAGCAAAGGAATGCTACTCTCCACTGACAGTGGCCAATGCAGAAAATTAGTTCTCAAGCATATAAACAACCCAGGGATGCTGACACTAGGGAGTCCTGGTCACAGACAGCAATTGCAAACAAAAAATTGCTCCCCCTCATTTCTTTCTCCTGAATCTAATTTTGCAGTATTCCCAGAGCTTCCTGGGATAATTTACAGGAGATTGGCTGCAACTCCAGCAATCTTACCTTGAGCTGCTTCAATCTCCAGGACTTGCAGGCATTTGTGGAACACAGGGAGCTCTTGTTTTGAACAAGTTCCTGTTGGTACCTGGGGAAAAACTGGCCTGAGGGGTAGCACAGTCTGTCCAAGTCACTGACTCTCCCCAGGTGTATGTCACAGGGAGACACAAGCATAGAGACTTCTGTAGAAATCTAAAGCTGCCCACAGGGTGAGGGTGACCTCTCGCTCCTGATCCTCAGCAGCTTGAAAAAACAGATTTGGTCCCAAACTCAATGCATGGACTGTCTGGAGGAAACTAGGTCTGACTGCAGCAAGTACCAGACGTCAGGCCTTGAGAGCCCAGCTGCCTCCAGTCTGTGCCCTCTGAGATATTTTTCATAAAGCTCCCCCTCCCATTTCTCTTTCCCTATTGATTTCTGGCCTGCCTCTCCCCCTTTCCCATTAATCCCAGATCTAGCTGCAATGACTCACCCTGGTATTTGAGTACAGGTGTGTCCCAGGCAGCTGCCCCCGTGGGATCATCTGCTCCAGGTTAGGAACGAGGAAAGGCAGGGAGTTTGGTGCAAAGCAGCAGTGGCAAATGTGCCAGTGTCTGTCTCACCCTTTTGTGTCCAGTCTAGCAGCTGCAGAGCCTCAGGAGGTGGGGCCTGTGAATACATACAACCTTCCTGCCTGCATCACAGAGAGCAGCCTGGGAAATACAGCAGGGCTGCCCTGTCTGACTGCCTGACTGAGCCATTCTTCCAGTTCACTCCTCACATTCTAGTGATGGAAATGGACTCTGAGCCAGGTAAATCACCTCCCTTGCCCTACAGTATAGTTACTATGCTGGTTTTGTCCACTGTGAATTGAAAGGTGGCTTCCACTAGGAAATTAACCCATAGGCTGATAGAGCTCCCTGTCTGAAAGTTTTTCCTGATATTCATCCTATGTGTTCCTATATTGACTCCATCCTATCGCTCTTCATTACACCCTAGTTTATTATGCTAATTAATTTCAATTCCTCCCTAATATTTACACCTTTCAGATATTTGTATGTCCCCCAGTTGATTGTTGCTTAGTCACAGTGTAAACCAATCACTCCAGCCCCAAAATCCTGGTGTGTCTGTCTTTCAGTGTCTGAACCTTCCTGCAGTCATCTCCTGTTCTCCCTCTCCTGCCTCTTACTGACTCAGATCACGCACACTGCTCAGTTCTCCGACTTCTGCAGCAGTGATTTTCCTCCTCTCACTAGGAATTAAATAGTTTTAACCTTTATTTCTTTGTTTAAATGCTCTGGAATCTTGTGCTTCCAAAACACCTGTCCTCTTTTTTTTAAACAGACCACCCCATCCCCATTCATACTAGGGAGGAGAGATTCTTCAACTGCAACTTCTTCCCTTGGGGTTAGCAGAAGCAGATACATTTTGGTCTCTTGAAGCTGACCTGTAGAACAGTCCAAGTTCCCCTCCACTCCCTCACCTAAAAATGCTTACCTTGAAATTTTTATTTCTGGTGTATTTGAACTCTTTAAAGAGGGCTGTCAGGAGTACTGGATAGCTGCTCATGGGATTGAATTTGATCTGCTTGCTTTTGTCCCCAAACCACAGGTTCAATGGCCCATTTTGCTATTGATTGGAAAGTATTTCTCATCTGATGGCCTTTGAGAAATGAGTTAATAGTTTCAGGCCAGTTTCTAATGGCCAGAACAGGTGTCCACTCTGAAGCCCACCATCACAATCAATGCTAATTTGCATGCTTTTGGGCAGACTGAATGGGCCAGGGAGACGGAACTCTCCTGTGACTCCTAGAGGCAGTCCCTTCAGGGGAGAGTTTGAGACAGTGGCTTGGATATTGTAAGGGAAATTTACACTGCAGCAGCCTGTGCTGTATCTGTTCTCTTGATTAACAGAGGCTTCAGTCTCCAAACTGGACAGCCTGCCACCTATCCTATATTAAAATATAGAAAAGGACTGCCAGATTTAGAACCGCAGAAAGACAGGGTTTGCCATGCTCTATCACAACTTGGTCCATGGAGGCTAGTCTGCGTTCTGCATCCAGCAGGGACAATTAACTGAAGCTCCAGAGGGATGAGAAACCCCTCTTATAGGGTGACCAGATGTCCCAATTTTATAGGGACAGTTCTGATATTCGGGGCTTTGTCTTATATAGGTACCTATTACCTCCCATCCCCTGTCCCGATTTTTCACACTTGCTATCTGGTCACCCTGCCTGTTACAATGCAGCTAGCCAACTGTGCAATTCTCCACGTGGGACAGAGAAAGGGGTGAACTCAGGCTCATCAAAGAACAGTGTTTCAATAACAATTTTCTAACAAAACCAACTGTTTTTCAGTTTTGACACAATTTTTTTTACTGTTTTTAAGTTTTCAATAAATCAAAATAAAAACTTAATTTAGTTTGTTTGAACTCAAAATCAGCATTTCAGGTTTGGTTTTTAGCTATTTCAATTCAAAACCAAAACAAAATTTTTGTTTCGGTTCAGTCTGTTAAAAATTTACAAAGAATTTTCATGAAAATGTTCCTTTTCCTCAAAAATCCATTTCTCCTTTAAAAAATTTTTTTTTTATTTTTTTTTTTTTTACCAGGTATAGGGAAAAGTTCCTTCCTGACCCCCACAAGCAATTAATTTCTGTCCTGGAGCATGAGATGTGATAGTCTTTATCATTACCTTAGCTTGCAAAACTAATTGTGTTGGCATGAAATTAACTAGTTTTCTTTTAAAATTCAGCCACAGTACTTGAAAGACTTGTCTAATATTTTATTATTCTCTGAGATTAGCTTCAGCATTTGCAATGCCTGCTTTGACAGTTCCACAACAAAATGCTATTTCTGATTCATAAATCACACAATTGTTGCACGAGTCATGCTAAAATAATCTTTTAGGGAAATGTACCTTGGGGAAGGGGAATCAGATGGAGAGGGGTTTATGCTGCCAGAGAGGGCTACAGAGGATATGAGAGAGAGGATTATTCAGGGATGGAGGTCTAGTTATGGAGGAATATGTTATGAAGTCCATTTTTGGATCTGGATATGGGAGTACAGGGAAATAGTCCTTGCACCTTGTATGGGGAATTTGGGGGAGCCTGGGTTTGGATAGGAAGGGGGATCAGGAGGCATGACTTTGAGGTATGAGACCTGGGTGTTGGTCAGAGAGGGACAACCTGACATAGTTAGGAGAGGTGTTTTTATTTTAACTACTTGCTTTTGTGTGTCTGCAATAGTGATGCTGAAGTTCTGCATGTTTTTAATTTTGTCCCATTGATAGTCAAAAAAATAGGGCAAGAATTCAATCAAACCCTGCTCTCTATATACATGCGCACACATCTGCACTAGCCCCTTCCTATTGTACATAGCACCTACCTGCACTCAATAAATGAATTCATAAATTCACAGACATTTAAGGCCAGAA